CGTACAATCAATTTTCTTCAGTTTTGATTAGTTGTCAGAATAAAGTTACGTTCATCTGAATCCATGTATGAAAACAAAAATCCTATTTTCACTTCAAAATACTTCAGTGAGATGAAGGCTCGGAATTGTCACATGCAATAACTTATTGTCGTATTCGTTATTTTATCTTCTCGATAGTAGCATTTAGTCGCACATTTGATGCCAGGTCACCTTGTCGCGTACCTCTTGGGGAACCCCACATTTATGTGTGTACTCATGGAAGTAAATTCCCCGGTGTAGCCGAGAGCCACAAACTTTTCAACAGGTTCGAAATGACCAATTTCTCTCATATATACTCTAAATATTTTATTATTTAGCACCTACAAAGTATTGCTAATAACCATATGTAATTTCAATAAGGAAACTTATCTGGCTACATATAAATTCAATATCAACACTAGCTGTTCTCTCAACACGTCCTGGCTTACCTTGTGGTGACAAACCCTGGGTTTTCGCTATTGTTTATCAACACCTGGGCGCATGCGCATTTTATACTTTATCGGGCACTTTAAGACCAAGATTCGAGCTAAACACCTAGAGAAGATGTATCTATCATTTATTCTCCCAAACTTAGAGTATGGAAGTATATTATTTGAAAAATCTACAAGGTATAATATTATGAAACTAGACCAAGTTCATTATAGAGCAGCATTATTAGTAAGTGGCTGCATTCATGGAACATCTACTGTAAAGGTTTTGAAATGTCTAAATTGGAATACCTTGTCTGAGCGGAGAAAGGAGAAACGATTACGTTTAATGTATGATGTTAGACAGAAATTGGTCCCAACTTATGTCAAAAATTTTTTTGATAGTTATCAAAATAAGCAACATAATATTAATTTAAGAAAATCAAGAGAATACACTATTCCAAAGTTAACTGCACGTTCACAAAAGTCACCAATAATAAATGCCATAAGAGAATGGGAAGCCATTCCAAATTATCTAAAAAGTGCACCATCAAGAGTCACTTTTAAAACCAATTTACGTAAATATTCAGGGAGAATGAAGCATTTAACAACCACAAACCTGGATCTTACAAGAAAAGAAGAAATTTTACTGAATCACTGGGGATGAACTGGAAACGAGGGAGGTTTTGCCTCGTATCAAAATGGCGGCGCGTGAAAAAATTTCATTCTGTAAGATTTTTGTTTTTTACAATTTTCGTGCTTTTATCCTTCAAATTAAAACTTAATATTTGGCAAGTAAATAGTTTATAAGTTCCGGTTTTATAATATGATTGCAAATTAGAAATCAATACAGACATTGCTGAGATATTTACATTTCAATTCTCTCACTTAGGAAACGAGGCACCTGTCTACATTTTGTAACAATGAAACGAGGCAATGTTTGACTTGCAACGAGGCAACTATTCTTTCTGTGATAGTGTCTACATTTAATGATCTTATTTCCACCGTTCTGGTCACATACGACCGATTACGTTTTACACGATATACTTAGGTGGTTCAAAAAGTTTTGCATTTGATGTCATAACTTCAAGGAAAATAGTATTATTGCAATGAAACTTGGTACACATATGTGTTATATATTTATACATTATATGGTAAAATTTGGGACCTCAATTTTGATTGGTTCTTGAGATATGGTTGCTATGGTAACCAGAGTGGTGGGTACCATGTTCAACCCGAAATTACGTTTTTCCAAACAGTTTTCTTGCTTGAATAAACTCTTTGTAAAATGGCAATTAGCAGGTGTAAGTGTCTTTGGGTGGCTATTTTTCTTCAAATTCTTCAATTTTTCTAATTGTCTCTATGACATCACAATAGACAAGTGACACGATAAGTTCCTTTGTGATGTATACTGTCCAAAACGCCGAAAAAAACGTACGCATTTCGTTCGGACTTTTCACGCGAATTACGTATATGTCACGCATTCCGTTCGAAATTTTTCGTACCTAAATATTTCGAAAACGTTAAATAGCATTGTTTTGAGTGTCAATTCCAATAAACGAGCCGGCTATCCGAGCTATCAATGGTAGTATGGTTGGCCTATTAGTATAAAGAATGCATGTGTTGTTTACGGGTGCATATATCGTCAAAATGTTCTCTCAAATAAGAAAAATCTCGTTCAAAGAAGTGCTATTTTAATAGGGAGCTTAAGCTACACGTATTTTAGAAATGGCGAACGTAAACGTGAAATGACCCCTTGGAACTATAGTTCCGTTCTGGATTGACTTATACAAAGACCCAATTAAAACAGTTTAACTGATACCTTTGTAATCATTCATGCAAATAAAGACGTTGAAGACAAGAACTAGTTCTCTGAAGATTGCAATTTTACACGTTTACGTACACTTCTCTTTTAAACATGTGTCGTTAAACCTCCCTACTAATCGTACGCAAATGGGGCATTGTTGTTGCTCGAGATGGCTATATTTGATAGAATATAATTCCAGATACGATAAAAAAATATGACCATGGTAATAATTAAATGACTCGCCTATATTACAAAAATAGCAGAGTCAAGGAGCACACTGGCATTTTCTCATTGGTGTACATTGGATTTTACTGTTTGTATTCTTTAATGTCTGTATGTTCCTTATTATGTCACTATCAATTATGTTATTCTGCATATAGTCCAACGAAATGTGGAAATGTTCGGCGTCTGACATCTGGAGTTCGGCGTCTGGCGTTTTGCGTCAATAGCAAATTCTTTAGCAATTTTAGCAACTTTCAAAAACTGAACAAATGCGTACCGCTTAGACTGACATCATATTTTACTGTGAACATTATTATAAACTTATTATGACTTTCAAGTATTTCTTAGAACATATGTTACCATGGTAGCAGATAAATGGACTTATTTGTTATTACTAAGTTACAACACGTGTCATATGTTAATGCCTTGTATTTTCTTAAATGCTAGAAATGGTAATGCATTTGTTGTAAATGAAATATTCATAAATTTTCTAGATTATTAGCCATATGAAAAATGTTAATGGTCGATGGCATAAATATTATGATGTCGCTATCGTGAATTAAAATAAATGATGTTTCAAGGTAGAATAAAAGCAAGCTTTGTTCACAACTGTCTATATCTGCTTCCCTATTCAACATAACATTTTTGCTTTTTAGGAAGCTTCAACATAACAATATCAGCAACGTTGTCGTTTCCTGTTACAGAAATAGCAATTGAACAGGGATGCTTCTTTTTGTAGGCCCCGTTCTGTAATAAAAACAAAACATTTTTAATTAAATATGGTTGCCTCGTTTCATTCTTAAGAATGCTATATAGCTGCCTCGTTTCCTTGAGAAACATGCCTCGTTTCCTAAGTGAGAGAATTGATATGTAAATATCTCAGCAATGCCAGTATTGATTTCTAATTTGTAATCATATTATAAAACCGGAACTTATGAACTATTTACTTGCCAAATATTAAGTTTTAATTTGAAGGATAAAAGCACGAAAATTGTAAAAAACAAAAATCTTACCGAATGAAATTTTTTCACGCGCCGCCATTTTGATACGAGGCAAAACCTCCCTCGTTTCCAGTTCATCCCCAGTGTGAATAGAACAAGATGTGATTTCATTTTTACTGGTCGTCTTTTTCAACATAATTTTCAAGGTATTGACGGTCCCAAATGCATCTGTGGTTTTAAACAACAAACTACAAAGCATCTAATCTTCAAATGCCCTCTGTTGAATGTTATAAGAGAGAAACTTTGGGGGAACTCAGGAACATGCCAGAAATGAACATTTTCTTTACAGGATGCTCTATAGAGCATAAATACCAATTCATTAGACTAGATGCGAATAAAAATAATCTTGATTTAAGTCATTAAATATTCAAAATTCAGCCAGTAAAAGTGATGATATATTTGAAATCTACATGTAAAAGTACATCTAAAATGAAATTGTTTATCACGTTGAAAATTTAATTTTTTGGGAAAATAAAACTTCTTATTCGGGGAGATTCCCCATAAACCCCCATGTTATAAAATCACAAAAATGTAAAATATCTTTTCTTGTATTGGACAGATAACATTTTCTTTTACTGGACATATTTTAATTTGCATAACTATTAGAAACACACGGGATGTATGAAAATTGAACCATTTGTCAGATGAATATTTAAGTTAAAGGGAATTTTCTAGCATACCCGCCATTTTATCTAACCCGAAAGAGCCACCTGGTGATGAAACTGGTAACTACCTACTTGCATCTGAGTTATTGTCAGCATTTGTCATCACGGGGGTCCAACTTACACGAAAACAACATTGATTTAAATTTTAGACATACTGTACCAGATGTTTGAAAATCAAGAATTGTAAATAAATACAATTTAAAATGACACCACTCGACTTACACACCTGTCAAACTTAAACTTAATTGCAGTTTTTCTAGTTTGCCCAAAAAGTAGTTTCCATAAAAACTAAGATTTTTGGTATAGTTTTTTGTAAAATCTCTTCCGTAGTTTTCATTTTCCATTTTTGAAAATAGCATTATGCAGATTTAATGAGAATACTTGTTTTGGATCAAAGGTCGTCATCAAAGATCGTCTTATATAATAACACATACGTGTATATACCTATATAATAATATCTCACATTTTGTGAAACAAAAAACAAAAAAACAAACATTTGAATTCAATTAGACATCTCAAACTCTTCAAAAGAATCAAACTTCGATGAAATGTTAACATTTATGGAGAACAATAGGACAAGAGTTATTCATTTACAAAGATATAGAAACGTGTTGAGGAAATGGGTCAAAAAGATTCTGTGTTCTGTGTTCTTTAAATGGCACTTGTTACATTGAGTGCTGATATGATAAGATGACAGTTATTGGAATGTTTGAATTTCAACAATGTTTGAATGTTTTGGAATGTTTGAATTTCAACAATATTTGAATGTTTTGGAATGTTTGAATTTCAACAATGTTTGAATGTTTTGGAATCATTGAATTTCAACAATGTTTGAATGATTTGGAATGTTTAAATTTCAACAATGTTTGAATGTTTTGGAATCATTGAATTTCTACAATGTTTGATTGTTTTGGAATGTTTGAATTTCAACAATGTTTGAATGTTTTTGAATTTTTGAATTTCAACAATGTTTTAATGTTTTGGAATGTTTGAATTTCAACAATGTTTGAATGTTTTGGAATGTTTGAATTTCAACAATTATAAAGCACCCAGCCTGTACCACACATAACCATTCAGCACATATAAGTTTAGTGTACTCAAGTGGGTATCTTGTTATGTAGCACTGTTACAATAGTGTTAGATGTCTGACAAATTGTCAGAATGTTAAGCTTGTCTCAACTCTCCAACTTTAGATTGTTATATTTAGCTAGTGTCTGTCCACCTTCCAACATAATGTTGTAATCTCCAGCTTATCTCAACATTCTATCATTCCAACATAATGTTTCAGCAGGTGTCAATTGTTCCGCTAATGTCTAGCTGGTGTCAATTGTTCAGCTGATGTTTAGCTGGTGTCAATTGTTCTGCTAATGTCTAGCTGGTGTCAATTGTTCCACATATGCAATATATTTGGACTGTCACTGTTTTTTGTTTCTGGTTCTTCTGGCATAGAAGCAAGGACATCTCCCGTGATTGAAGCCACCTCCTGAAGGAGAAAAAAAGGAGATACAGGACACAGGTATGCAGTATTAGTCATGTTAGTGATTTATATATCATGTTATTTATTTTGCTGGCATTTTGATTTTGAACTTTGTAAATACAACAAGTCACAACTTGACAATACTAATGTCCCATTGAATATCTTTTCAGGCATGAAACACAGAATACAACAAGTCACAACTTGATAATGGTAATGTCCCATTGAATATCTTTTCAGGCATGAAACACAGAATACAACAAGTCACAACTTGATAATGGTAATGGTAATGTCCCATTGAATATCTTTTCAGACATGAAACACAAGATTGTCAATCACAACTTGAAAGTAATGGTAATGTCCCATTGAATATCTTTTCAGGCATGAAACACAGAATACAACAAATCACAACTTGATAATGGTAATGGTAATGTACCATTGAATATCTTTTCAGGCATGAAACACAGAATACAACAAGTCATAACTTGAAAATGGTATATAGTAATGTCCCATTGAATATCTTTTCAGGCATGAAACACAAGATTGTCAATCACAACTCGAAAATGGTAATGGTAATGACCATTAAATATCTTTTCAGGCATGAAACACAGAATACAACAAGTCACAACTTGATAATGGTATATGGTAATGTCCCATTGAACATCCTTTCAGGCATGAAACACAAGATTGTCAGTCATTGTTTAACGTAATGCCCACCAAACAAGATAAGACAATTTGTCAAATAACAGGGTTCTCACCAGGATATTTTTGACAACATCATGATTAAATATTAAATAATTTGCAGTACATGTGTATCAATAATATTTCGTTCGTGAAAGTTCTAACAGAAATATAGTAAATGAGCACAAAATGTTTTGAAACAATTGGTTGGCTTTACTGCAGAGCTTGTAATCAATTGGGCGATATATAAAATATGAACAATGTTTTTTGAGTTATTGCTGGACTAAAAGTGATACAGATTGATCAATTTTATTCTCTTTTGACTGAATAAAAATATTTACAATATTTTCTTATTTCCATGTGACTCAGATTAGATATTAAACTTTTTCACACTGATACACTAATGCAAAGTGTCAAGTGTGAATGTGTATAATTTTAAATTTAAACGTTTTACATAAAAAAGTAAATGTAGTCCTACAGACAAATGGACAAGAAAAAGTACATTATATAAAATTGACTCGACTCCCAGAAAATGATGCCATCTTTACAATAACTGTTAAATAAAACGAAATATACAATTTTTGAATAATGGAAAATAGTCGTATATTCTTCTATGAAAACTTACCATATTTGGATCTGAGTAGCCTCTCATTGGTTGTGGCCTCATGGCGTAGGCAGAGCCAGGACGGGAAAAGTGGGCATAGTCTGACCTGGATAAGCCAGGATCCTCCGTTTTAACCTAAATATCAAATTTTACATAGAGATGATCTACTGCTTTATATGCCAAACAACAATCAAGTCATATACCATCATTGGTGTTTGGTAAAAAAAATTGATTGATCACCTCCCTAAAACAGAGACAAAGTAAACAATTCAAAATTTTGGAAACACACTTAAAACAAGATAAAATAAAAAAGATGTAAGAATATAAAAAGTGGTAGGTGGAAGAAGTAATTAAAAAGTCAACTATAAACTATGGCTTCTGTCATCCTCCAGTAGTACTCCATAGGATATAGAATACTACACATTCTAAGGAAATTCATCCTCCTAAGCAGGCTTCCAGAATCCGTACCTCCTTCTTACATATGTAGAAAGGAAGAATAGATTCTGGATTTTGAAACCCTGCGTACGGAGGATGAAGGAAATTTAATTCTCACCTTTCATTAACACTACAAATTAACACATATTTACTTACTTTTTGTACAATATTTAATTTTATTAGATCAGCCTTTGGTGTTCTTTCACATCCTGCGGCTGAAAAGGAGAAAAACTCTGAGCTCATATGATTTATAACAAGCACCTTGAATGATCATATAGAGTATCTATTAATGGGATTACTGCCATCTTTAAGACTTGGAGCAGAATCCTACTTTTCATTTCAGACTCATCTAAAGACTTAACATTAATTTCCTTGAAAGTACCTTGATCTGAAAAAGGAAATGTTATAACTTAAAGCCGCACTTTGGGAATTTTCAACATTTTTGGGCAAAATAAAGACTTACATTTAAATTTCATGGTATGTCCAATTTGTTGATAAGAACCTTATCTTTCATTTGACACCAACAACAGCTCAAATGGACCACATCAAAGCTTACAATAAATTATCAAAAAATATTTTCCATCTGTCAAGCTTTATATATCAAGTTTTTATCAATGTCATTGAAAAATGGCAGAGTTGTTTGCATTACATGATACATTCATTTTTATAGATGTGTCGCCATCTTTTAAATCAATAGTAATTTAAAACATGCACTTTGTTTAACATGTGCATGCACGTCTGATGATCTCTGAAATTCAAATGCTTTTTTCTATGTGAGTTTCTTTTTTCTTGGTTCAATATTAAAGCAAATCAAACTTTGTGTCATATTTGAGCTAGTGTGTGAGTAACATGTTTTAATGATTTTCTTCTAAATTAGTATAGTGCGCCTTTAACCAAACTGTCAAGTAAGTTTTCATCCCTCCTGCCCCCACCCCTCCAAAATGAACGAATTGATACATTCCCTACAAACTAAATATCTGAGACTCACTATATAAGGTTACCCTGAGATAGTATGGAATATAAAATACCTGCAAAAAATGACCAGATTGAGTCGAGAGCAGAGGCAAAATCTGCTGCCGTGCGTTCATTATTGTCCCTCAGAGTTAGGTTGGGCTGTTTCTCCATTAACCTCATTATGACTTTGCCGTGACCTTGGAATGCAGCACAATGGAGAGGTGTCCATAACGTGCCACCATTTGTTGCATTTACATCAGCACTATAAACAGAGAATATGGCAATAATATACCATGACCTTGGAATGCAGCACAATGGAGAGGTGTCCATAATGTGCCACCATTTGTTGCATTTACATCAGCACTATAAACAGAGAATATGGCAATAATATACCATGACTGCAGCACAATGGAGAGGTGTCCACAACGTACCACCATTTGTTGTATTTACATCAGCACTATAAACAGAGAATATTGCAATAATATACCATGACCTTGGAATGCAGCACAATCGAGAGGTGTCCATAACGTGCCACCATTTGTTGCATTTACATCAGCACTATAAACAGAGAATATGGCAATAATATACCATGACCTTGGAATGCAGCACAATGGAGAGGTGTCCACAACGTGCCACCATTTGTTGCATTTACATCAGCACTATAAACAGAGAATATGGCAATAATATACCATGACCTTGGAATGCAGCACAATGGAGAGGTGTCCATAACGTGCCACCATTTGTTGCATTTACATCAGCACTATAAACAGAGAATATGGCAATAATATACCATGACCTTGGAATACAGCACAATGGAGAGGTGTCCATAACGTGCCACCATTTGTTGCATTTACATCAGCACTATAAACAGAGAATATGGCAATAATATACCATGACCTTGGAATACAGCACAATGGAGAGGTGTCCACAACGTGCCACCATTTGTTGCATTTACATCAGCACTATAAACAGAGAATATGGCAATAATATACCATGACCTTGGAATGCAGCACAATGGAGAGGTGTCCATAACGTGCCACCATTTGTAGCATTTACATCAGCACTATAAACAGAGAATATGGCAATAATATACCATGACCTTGGAATACAGCACAATGGAGAGGTGTCCATAACGTGCCACCATTTGTTGCATTTACATCAGCACTATAAACAGAGAATATGGCAATAATATACCATGACCTTGGAATACAGCACAATGGAGAGGTGTCCACAACGTGCCACCATTTGTTGCATTTACATAAGCACTATAAACAGAGAATATGGCAATAATATACCATGACCTTGGAATGCAGCACAATGGAGAGGTGTCCATAACGTGCCACCATTTGTAGCATTTACATCAGCACTATAAACAGAGAATATGGCAATAATATACCATGACCTTGGAATGCAGCACAATGGAGAGGTGTCCACAATGTGCCACCATTTGTTGCATTTACATCAGCACTATAAACAGAGAATATGGCAATAATACATGGTTGCCATTGTCCAACAGAATAAAAGATCGCTGACTAACTCAAAAATCATACCTACTCAAAGGCAGTTTGCTGAGTGTTTGCTCTCTAGGATGATCAATTAAACTCTAAATCAATACCAAATACAGTACATATAGTTATTGTAATTTGTAATGAATTCATATATTTGAATGAATAATTCAATAAATCAAAGTTTTACCCATCTTCAAGCAGAACCTGTGCTATTTCAGCATATCCCCAGAATGCTGCTATTGCAAGTGGAGACATGCCATCTGCAGATTTCTTATTGGGATCACATCCTTTCTCAAGCAATCTCCTTAGCAACTGAAAGTAGATGCGGGTGAAATATAGTAAAATTGAATATCTGAACACCTATCTATTCAAAACATCTGTTATGTGAACACTTTTTGAAAAAAGGTTGAGACAGAGATGGTGGAGCCATTGTAAATGGAGGATGTAGAATCCCATACTAAAACGCAACAGGAATTTGGAGTACAAGAGGATGGGCAATTGGCATGACCAGCATACTTCTAGATATAGAGGGGCTATAGAGGTACTCAAAAAATTTGAAAAATAAACGAATGAAATATTTATCATTTCAAGGTATGTATACCCTGATACCAAATTAGCTAAGTGTATGTAGAAATATATAATGCTAATAGTATAAGGTTGCTCCGATTTCACATTTTTGTAGTACCTTATCATTGAAGAATAACAGAGTTGGTAAATATTTGCATTTTTTTAATTTAAAACTATTGGCGTCATTGTGATACCTACCTATTTATTTGTTTTGCGCGATTATTTTCGTCATAGAAGTATCTATCAATTAAGGATTTGGTGTTTTGAATTCAGGAGTATTTTTCCTCTAAGATGTGCAAATAATGTGACAAAAATATAGAATTAGACTCCGGAAAAAACACTTTAGACTCCGGAAAAGCTATTAGACTCTGGAGCAAGAGGGTTTTAAGACATTAGACTCCGGAGAATCTACAGGCCCTCCAGAGTAGCCTAGTGAGAACCCTGGTCCTTGAGGTATAATAATATAACTGAGTGTGAGGGCCAAAGAACCCCATAAAGGCTTCCGATTTCCCCGATTAAGAACTTGCAATCTGATTGGCTGTTGCAACACTGCGACAGAAATCATGTATAAGTCATTGCGCATAATTAGATCACGTGATTCAGTTAAATCGGGCGCTTCCAAATTGGTTATAGAAGGGGGAAGAAGGAGGTACGGATTCTGGACACCTGCATGCTTAGGAGGATGAAGTCCGGGCTAAAGTAAATCTCTTGTATTTTTGTCAATCACATTCACAACAACCATAGGCTATCTATTGAAAGCCCATGCTAAAACACACCATCAAAAACTTTGAATGAATCAATATTTGAAAATTTTGAATTTGAAAGAAAATGAAAGGTCCATGTGCAGTATGGCAAGTGATTTTAGACGGTCATATCTTTCACCATGGGTACTTTCTGGGCATAAAATACAGTGGTTTTCATTAAATGTTTTCTTTCAAGTCAAGTCCCCATGATAGTAAAATATCTCACACCTATGCGAACTCCCGTGCAGTGATAACTGCATAGGAGTTCGACACCTTTGGCCACACTCAGTGGCCATAGAATATGATAATCTAAGTAAATTCATTCTCATTTGATAATCATACCGTAATATCGCCATTTGCAGCAGCTAGCGACAAATCTTGTTGGAAATTTGAAAGGTTTTGAAAATGTTCTCCGTCCGCCATTTGTAAACAACAGGGAGCAGGGAGAGCTCCTTATTTTATTTTCGTAGTTATACAAACTTTAATAGATGTCTCTCAAATCAAATACTGATTATGGCACTACATTTAACATTTTGAAATAATTGACACATTGTATGTTTATGACCATTCTGACACCAACTCTGTTATTCTGACAAGTTTAGTTAATCAGTCCATAAAGAAATGTGCATACAGAGCAATATTTTATGCCGAGGACTATTTGACATTTCAAAGTGGTTCAACGTTACCTTTTAAGGCTTCAACTATTGACTAGAGACTAGACTAGAGGAAAAATGGGCCTTTAATTTTCAAAAGATGTTGATGACTCGAAATTTGGGCCACCTTTTAGTTTCTGGATCCACCAGTGCATCCCCTCCCAATCAATGTCCTCTAGTCTTTGTAATGGTGTCACTCCCCCCCCCCTCCCCATCATCATTCACCTCTTCTTAGCAGATCTTTCTTTTCTCAAGTATCTGTTACGGCATCACACCCTCCCCCTCCCCCCAAATTTTAGTTAAGACATTCAATGGCCTAAAGGACTGTCAATAGATGGTGAAATTATCACTTTTAATACTTTAAAATTGCTTCAAAAATCTCCTAAGATAAATGTTATTGAAAATATCCAAAACCTCATGATATTATATTGAATCTTATAAAACATGTTTGTTAACATTAGCAAAAGAGTACGCCACCATACTACAGGTTTGTGATTATCTATTCAGTTTTAGGTAATTATATATGCATGTGTAAAATTTATTTTCACTTGATCATGAAATTTTGAAAGGTTGGTATTTGTTAGTTACCCTTGCATTTATAAATGCATAGACGACAAATAGGTTTCATCTCCAATGCTTAACTGCAAATGAAAATGGTGTATTGCTTATTGTCTAGCAATGTACAAGCTTTCATTTGATATATAATACACCCTAAGATGAAAAGATACTCATTAAATAGACTAGAGAAAATTGGGACAAATAATGAAGTCTTACAAGGGTTTTGAAAAGTTACATATGCATAAAATATTATAACTAATCTTTAAACTTCACTCCAAAGTTCCCCAACTGGTGTGATATTTTGGGTGACTTCGGTCATTGCCAGTTTAAGTCAATACATTGAACTGTTTGGAGTTTGTATTAAAGATGTTCTGCACTTACTAGCTAAGATACAAAGGATCATGGTACAGGGTAACCCAAATAATGTGACACATTATTTTTGATAAAACTTATGGAATCCTAAGATTTTTCCTGAATAGACATTAGACAGAGGGTATTGGATGGATGGAATTCTTATTTGTTTAATTTGTTAAAATATAAATGCTTCTCAATTGCTTTCAATTACTGTTATAATATTATGGACATATTTGTTATTACAAAAACAAGTATTGATGGACTTCTCTTGATTTTTTCAGTAGACAAACTGATTAATTGAATACAGTAAAACATGTCTTAGTGAATACCTCTCTCGAGTGAACACCTGCCTCTCATTGAGACATTGTTGTGGCTCATTAGGTTTTCACTGTTTTCACTGTATGCAGGTTTTACTGTATATATACTTTTTCACATCAGCCCTTAGCATAGGATTTGATCTTATGTTTTCAGATAAACTATACAGCGACATAATCAAATATCATCAATGCCTTAAATTTCAAGGATTGAATATTTTTGGTCTAGGCATACCTTAACATTTATCCATGGTTGTTCAAAATTGTGAGTTTTGAAACTTGGTTCATTTTTCTTTGTCATCATTTGCCAAATCGTTCATATACAAAATCTTTGAAATATCATCAATCATCTTCTACAATGTGTCTGTGTTTGAAGGATGATCTCAGACAGGTATAGACTGAACCACTGGTGATTTGGTTACTGGTACGAAGTTTTTATATGGTTTACATTCTTTGTGTCACCCTGTAGACCAAGAATAGATAACAGACAAATGTGATGAGTTGTATATCAAACAATAAAACATGATCATGAATAAGTAGTATGTAAACTAGCTTTTATCAGATAATGTATTTTAAAGAATAGCTGATACTTCAGTCTGTGACAAGTTCAAATACTAAGACATGTAAATCAATACGATAAGTATTTTAAATATTTCTCCTTTTAGAGCTAATTCGACTTGTTGGACCTTATTGGAATTAATGAAAATATATTTAAAAAGCATTATCAAAACAAGGCATGTATATGAACATGCAAAATGTCACTACCTGCCATTTGTTGCAGATACTGAATGCTGACCGCTGAACACTGTCCACAAAAAAGTTGGAAACTATTACAATGTCACCACTTCAGGTCTGATGGTGACACAAAACATGGAATGTCTGACATGTAACAAATATAGTAAATTGGTCAATAAAGGAAGAAACAAAATAGTTGTATTTGTGACTTCGATGTTCAGTTATAGTTCTTAGCACTATTCTCATTTGAATCCTATTCGTCTAAATAGACAATGATCAAACAAGACGTGGCTTACCCCTATGGCCATCCCATGGCTTTGGATTTAATTCATCTGTCAGTACAAAAAGCCACTACCCTTGCCAGTAACTGAGCTCCTTTAAAACTTAATGTCTCCTAATGTCCTGGGGTCTGCTGAGTCATAGGGTACAAAAACCTAGTCCAAAATTCCTACTCATCTTGTCATTTAATTGATACATAATAGTCATTGCTTATGCCCTGCTGATGTAAACCCATTCACAAAAACGTTCATGTTAATTTAAATGACTTTTAATGAAAGAGGAAATATGTGACAAGTGTCAGAAAATATGTGACAAGTGTTAGAAAATATGTAACAGTTTTTATAAATGTTTATTGGAAATAGAAAAGGTACAAAGAAAAATAAAAGGGGAGTCATTTGTAGGGAAAGTATGCAATAATGGGTGTTTAGGTTGAATTTGTTTAATCTCAATTACAATCATCTAGGTTAATATGTGACAAGTGTCACAGAAAATATGTGACAAATATCAGGTCTTCTTACAAACCACTTATCAATTGAGGCCAATAAAACTTAGTTTCAACAAGGAAAACTATTTTGCGAAGGATCGTGATTAGCCAATGATGAATGACAGTATGAACAAAATGTAAATCAAAATGTTTATACATTTCCTGTTACAGGTAAACTGTGATAAAACTATGGCATCTACTTCCTTCTCAAACATTACATGTCAGAAATAAGTGATGGGTATCAGAATGATACGTGTTTCAAAGCAGTGAGGTTATCTCATGATAATTACAAAGATATTATCCTATATGAGGTTCAGGATATTGGGATTATCTCATGAAAAATAGTTCACAGTGAGACTACAGGCAAATTATATCCAATTCAATCAAAGGGGGAGTTAAAATATGAGATAAAGAATAAGGCCTATATACATTCTAGATAAATGCTGACTTTCACAATGCTTTAAGTTCATTTATTTCTATTCCTATTCATATTAACCCCCCACCCCTTGTCTGATATGAAAATCCCACCCCACCTCACCATTCCTAATCTTACAATAAATCATGACAAGCACTGATATTTTCTTGGTCACAAACTTTATTTTAAAAACTGTTCCATAATAGGTGATACAATAAAACCTATGATTGTGAACACCTCTACAATAGAGTAGAGAAACTGATTCAGGTGAACACTATTTCAGATTTCATTGCAATAATGTCCACCTCAGAGGTGTTCCCCTTGGAAAGGTTTAACTGTACTGTATTGGCACTTAAAACAATATATCGAACATGAATTATAACTTATACAATGAGTATAAATAATAAAACAGAGTGTATAATGTTTATACTGAATGAAAAAATGTATGTAAAGCTATTTGTTTTTGTAATAATTAGTACAAATTTCACATAGTCTTGTTCTTGTTTCTAACTCTTGCGGCCCCCCACAAGTACACCTCATTATCTAATCTAGAAGAGAAGATGGGAAATCCTGAGATTTAATGCAAGACTAGATTACAATTCTATTGGCATTATCCCATTGTCTCCTAAATGAGATGCCTCAAAATAGATATTTAAATCATATTGTAGCACACTTTCTAATTTACTGTACTCCCAGTAATTTTCGCGAAATTAACAAGGAGTACAGATTTTAAATATTTGTGGGTTGTTACAAAATCATCATTTTTGGAAATGGATTTGCTGGATTAGGAGCTTCATTTCATTACCGAGTTTCATATTTCAGAGACAATGAATATCATGACTTGGGACATCATACCAAGATTTTCACAAAAATATCTGCCCATTTAAGAGCTATGATGCAACAGTGAGGGCTCTCAATTTAACATCAATGGCTGTTAAAAACCAAATGGGAAAAGTGTTTATTTGTGCACTCTACTGTGTACTTTATGCTATATAAATACTGACTGGGTCTCATTGCAAGAATCTTTGGTATGGCCTCTACCAAAATTACTCACTGGAAATTTTTGTTTGCATCCAGTTATCAACAATCATGGAAAAACAAAGTTGACTTTGTAAGGTTTGAAGTTTGAACACCCACCCTCCCTCCCCTCATCTAAAAAAATTATAATGCTGATTTGTCTTTCACTTGAATATTAAAAATTAACACTGTTCGCCAACAAAACCATCATTTAACCCCTCCCTTTTACAAAACTAACTTCATTATTCCACAACTGTTGAAAATTCGACACCATCCTTAAACCAAAGAAGGACAAACTATGACATCTTTCAGCAAAATGGCAAAATATTGGAGTTTGTAAAATGATGATAAATCACAGAATTCTCATTGATCTCAAGTGCATACTTCAACTGGGTAGGTCTATCTTTATAACACATTTCCTCTAGGTTGAGAACTTGAAAAATCATGAAAAATTTTAGAATTTTTTTTTTTTAATTTTGGCAATTTACATGTACCTATTAAGGTGATAAAATCAAATCTCCACCCACTTGAGAAGAATGCTGAAGAGAACACTGCCAGACTGTCGGCCTAATTCACTTAATTAAAGGTATAACAAGAAATAACAAAATACAAATATCACAGGGATTCACAGTAATCAACAATGAACAACTATATATACTGTACAAATCATACAATTATTTCACTGGTAACTTTATATAATATAGGCCTAAATAATATACAATGAATAATAAATGCAGAAATTCAAGTCTTTCAACAAAAGTTAATCCGTGATTAAGAGATCTCGAATCAACTTTCCTTAAAGACCCACAATATAAATAAAATATTTAAGTCACTGGCATGAACAAATAAATATCTTGATATCATGGATATATTGAATCTCTATCACAGTCAAAATGAGAAAATTAATGATTGTCAGCTGACAGTGAACTATAACGTCATTTCCAAGTTAATAATTTACTTAATTGACCACTAACATACATTACATCTGACTATAACAATATAATCTACATAAAATATAAGGGGATTCTGGCTTACATTTCAACGAAAAAGTGATTCATGATCATGTTTGCTAGTAAATGTATGTACATGCTGAGTCACCGACACTCCAAAATATTGAACTTGAATCATACGACTCTGTCTGTCAATTTACTATGTCACAGGTTTATCTTCTATGTACATATATAGCAAGTCAAAATGGTTGAAATATTGGGTACAATAAAATCTTTTTTTAGGAACAAACTTTGTTCTCATACACAACTAGACAACAGCAACGCAACGCCAAAGCGTAGCAAATCCCATCAAACAGCCATGGCTGGTATTTTTACAAACAAAGTATATAGCAAAAAATGGCAGCCATTTTTCAAAATGGCCACTTTTTACCAAAAGTGTCATTAGACAGTGTGCCATGCTTATAGTATTCACATACCAAATATGAACAAAATCGCTCCACTACTTTTCCAGTTGTAGTAAAATACGTTAAAATGGTGGCCATTTTTTAAAAATGGCCGCCTTCTACCAAAAGTGTCATTAGACAGTGTGCCATGCTTATAGCATTCACATACCAAATATGAACAAAATCGCTCCACTAATTTTCGATTTACAGCAAAAATCGTAAAATAACGAGTAAGGGCCGCCATTTTTCAAGATGGCTGCCATGTGCTTCTTTAATATCAACATTTCTAGCTTTATTAATGTCCTATATAATTTTTTTACATTTAAAACATATTGCTATTACAGTTTTACATATTGCACCTAAATTACTGTAAAATCGGCACTAAAATGGCCGCCATTTTAAATGAGTGGCCATTTTGAAAATCGCCTTTCGCGCAGAACTTCTCCCCCCATAGGGTATATGTCTACAAAATATGAACAAAATCGGGCCAACGGTATTTGAGTTGTTGCCCGGACGGACGGACTGTCGGACAGAGGCATTCCCTATATCCCTCCGAACTTCGTTCAGTGGGATAATAAGCATGCCACTAAATAAGGCACTTACACTGCATTTAAGTAACAGTCTTAAATCAATATTAATAACCATCAATTTATGGACGGCTCGCCTTATAATATACATTCTCTATAACAGTAAAACCTGTTTATATGAACACCAATGGAACCAGATAAACCTATTTTAATGAAGATTTTCACATTTTTTCACAAAATTTGTGTTCACATTAAGAGGAGTTCAGATAAGCGGGGATATACAGGTTTTACTGCATTAAAAGCTAGGCCTACGAGTGACGGATTAAAATAATTATCACTTACAATATCATCAATATACAGCAATAAAAATAATCGAGAAAATTAATATAAGGGCTTTTTTTGTACGACGTATGACGTGACATTCCTTATCACCTGATTTCTGTCTCAATTTACTCTCAAATAAAGTATTATCGGACGCATGTGAAAATATGATCCTACTTTGAAATATACAAGAATTTTCTGTGAACACGGTTAGGGGCTCTGACACATATTAATGTGTCTTTTTGCAAAACTAGATACTTCAGGCATGTTCGGAAGGCAAAGAAAGATGAAGTATCGAGAATGGGCGATAATAAATGGAAATTCACTGATCAATTACATAAGGTTTGACTAAAGATTCACTTTCATTTTAATTAGTTTCGAAAAAGAACATTGATATTTTGACACAGCCCTTATTCCAATCCTGTTTGATATACAAGGTGTTCATAAATTCTCTTTATAATGACAATACAAAGTATGTGTACAGTGTAGAGACTCTATGAACACCCTGTATTGTATCCATAATGATATGCAGGGTTGGTCAATTTTTGACCCACCCTGTATATTTTACAAATTGTTCCTATATACTATGTGAAAGCATTTTTACTATACATTTGCACTGTAAATGTAAGTAACTAAGTCTGAATAATATTCTTGTAAAGTTGCTTTAATTATATACAATATTTCATCCTAAAGATCACATAAGTTACCTAGGGTCTAATGTGAAATGAGTCCCTGCTTTTTTCAAATGTGCAAGGGTAGTCACGAGTGCTTCCACGAAAGACTGGCTATCATATTCAATGTCATGTTTAGCGCAGACTTCTTTCACCAATGGTGAAGCGTGACGAAGATATTTACGTGCCATTTTTGGGAAAAGATGATGTTCGATGTGGAAATTCAATCCTCCGTAATACCAATCCATGAACCAGTATGTGTTAAGATTCATGTTGGAGTCAATCTGAAACTTATACCAACTATCTCTGTGGAATTCATCGATATTCAAGAATGCCTTACAATAATGGCTAAGGATCAACTGGAAATGGAAGATACCTTCGACAGAGGCGGCAATCAGATAGAAAATTCCAACCTCTCTCCAGGTGGGCAAGTATGATAGGAGACAACACATCCAAGTCCAGTGGAATGCGGCCCCGACCCATTCTTGCCAGCGTTTCTCACGACGGAAACTATCGGTTACAATTTCATAACGTCCAATAAAGGTGACGACAGGGATAAACGTAATATGTTGTATCTTAATGAAGATGTAGTGCATAGTTGTCGTGAAAAGTGGGAAAAGTTTTTCATTTTGCGCCCAAGACACTTCCCACATTTGCGGATCTACCCAACGATTTGCAACATCTACAACATTGGTCATACCATGGTGGAATATATGCTCATCTTGCCACCAGTGGGCGCTTATACCAAACATGGCGGCACCGAAGAAAGTACCACCAGCCTCGTCTTTCTTCCTATTGGTCCTAAACACCTGAGAGTGCATAAAGTCATGCATGATGAAACCAGACTGCTGCCAAACGAAGGCCAGGACAAAGGCCCCCAAGTAGTGCATGTACCACGCTGAAAACTGGGTGACTAGAAACCATACAGTCATCCAGAGAGCGAACACAACTAATGATTTCTTCACATACCAAACAAAGTCAGTTTCAAAATATCCTCTTTCTTCAAATATTTTTTTTAGTTCGTCAAAATCTTTGTCAGCTGGATGCCTTTCACGCATGGCATAGGTTCCTACAGGCTTTCGATGTTTCAGAATTTTAGGATCATGTCCATAAGCATGAAACACATGTGTCGCATCCTCACCAATAAATGACCCAATTATAGGCCCACCGGGGTGCTTGTCAATAAAGTCAGTTACATCATACCAAAAGCCATCTACTCCAACGAGTTTACGCTTTCCATCCTCTGATGGGACTAAATGTCCATTCGCCACTCCATTTGCAGCTCGCTCTTTAGTGAAACCATTGGCGTGTCCATTTGCAGCTGGTTGGTCACCAATCTCCGTTGCGATACTTCTCTGCCTGACCTCTGTTGTCGTAGGAGGCATGATGCTCTAACTAAAAATACATGGAAAAATGCACTTAAGTTTGAATCAACATCAAAGCTAAAACTATGGCCATTCACCATCATAGTCATTGACTAAGACTCATAATCAATAGATCTGGTCATAGATAGAATGTGCAGTTCACAGTTGTGCACCTACAAAAAATAATGAATGCTTTATCAATATTTATTGATTCTACTTGAACCTTTCAAAGTTACTTACCACTAGATTATGACATTTGAACCTGCTATTAATTCATATCAAAATAATTATAATTTAATCTATATTATCATCAAAGCAACTTTTTTGAAGTAGTTACATGTACCCATAAATCCTGTATGTATATAAACACCTTTTTATTCTGAACTCTTCTATTGTTTCAGTTCTAATTATTTTCCTCTGTAAATAATTGAAATATGAACACCTGCCCAGCTGCACACTTCTGAATGATCCCAGAGGTATTCACATAAAGCAAGACTATAACAATATATAGTCATACTTGTATCTGTCTAGAACCGATCTGTTATTGACATCAGGTATGGTTACATAAAGATGTGACCACGCTATCAGAGCTTAGAGTAGAATTGACTAAAATGAAAATCTCCCCCACTCTACATACATGTTCCTTGGTACACAGAGAATGGGGGGTGGGTAATTATAATAATTAATAAAAAAAGAGTCGATCATTTCACTTACCTATGACAGTTACTGCATAAATATATAAACTTACACAACATTCACTCATATATACAATTCCACATAGGATTATCACTAATCCATAACAGTTACATTACGTGTAAAATTAAGCCCTACTTACTTGCATATAGTCCTATATAAACTCATGTAAGTTGGACTTTCAGGTATAAGTCAATGAACACATAGTTACTACAAATAATCAATGGCTGGTTTGTATCAACCAATCAGAAACAAGCCGGCAGGTATTTACCACTGGTAGAGAGCTTATGAATAGTAAAGCATTTTAACAGTTTATGCATGTGGTGTGAAATATTATCTTAATTCAGTCAATTTATGATCATGATATACATTCATTATTATCACATCCATGCTCTCCGTAAGCTGAGATGATAATTTCAGGAAAAACCTACATATAATTTTCAAGTGACTACATAACAATTTTATTAGTATATCTCCATAACCTTCGTACCAGTGATATCTCTATTCTTATATATTGACTCATAGAAAAAATCAGCTGATCACATGTTCTTGCCAAAAAAATGCCAAAAACAGAATAAATGAATAAACAAAGCGAAAGATGATACTAAATGAACATTTCTCAGAATTCTTCAACCTATCATACTCTTTCCAAAAAGGGTTAAACAAAAGAGAAAAATATTCGTACAGTATATGTTAACAAGTACACTAATCTAAACATATATAATCACACCATTTGGACTTTTGAGCCATAAGACATGAACTTAAACCATGCTACCATAGACTTGATAACCTTCATAGCATTTCTGTTGACATTTCACAACCTGGTCTTATTCAGCGTGAATATAAGTTTGAACTTGTCTATTGAAATATTTATTACCAACTCTTATAGTAAAAACAGGTTACAAAAGGAATGTACTAAAAACCCTTCGACCCTTCGACCCTGCGACCTACGACTTACAGCGTGTCAAGAATTTTTGAAATATATTTTTATAAAAACCCTTCGACCTTCTAGATATTTCTCAGTCCATATGAAGTTGCTGGAAATATTACTTTGTGTATAGAACTTAAGAATCTGTCCCAAGAGAGTTAAAGATATTTAAAGCTGGACTTCGATCGGAGCCGGCGATATGATTTGGAAAGGTTTCTAAATGAAGAACGTGACGTCACTTCCGAATCATAGCATTCAAAATGAGTAGCGTTTAATTACTCCCACCATTCATAAAATCACGGTGGTCTAGCGGAAGAATGCTCGCTAATGCCAACTAAATAAGTAGATTCTTTGTTTTGCATCCTACAAAATCCAAAGCATGCGAGGTTCTAAGGCTAGAGTACCGACAATTGTCGGTACTCTAGACTCTGATGTGGTGAGGACCGACAAATAAATTGTCGGTACGGGAGATATGCTGTGTTTACACGCTAGAGGACCGACAAATATTGATTTTCGAATTTTCTGGCGCATGCGCAATGCGCGGGGGGGATATTTCAGATATCATACGGATATTTTGGGAACAAGTGCAAAACCCGGGGAGGGCATTAGCCCCGGTTACCCGGGGATTACCAAACCCAGTCAAAAAATGGTAGCCCGGGAACGGGGAATGGTAGTAAACGTTGAAAACCCATAAAAACATGAACAAGTAAGACGTTAGAGAGCTATTAATGCAGAGTAAACGGCTATATATATTCTAAACAGACAGGATATTTCTCCTGAGCCGATCAGGCGTAGAAAGGGGCGTTTGCTACCCATTAGATAGAAGAAAATAGCCATAGAATGTTTTTTATTTGAAGCTTATGGTATGAGGTTCCATATCCATCCGCCAAAAGGTATGACCCCTATATAGTCCATTTAAAAACCTGTGGTATCATTCTAAATAACCCATAGTTGGCTTCTAGGGTACCTAGTATGCCACTATTTGGTATCAAAATAAAGAGGAGTTCAACTTTCATTTGAATTACGAAAATAGCGATGTAGGTGAAAATAGTTCCGAACGTAACGTGAGCATGTTTACTACGCGTTTGCCCGTCATATCAGAATTGAGGAAGTGGTAGCAAACGCAAGTTACAATAAACGGACGCTGATATCTCAAAAAGTAACCCGACTCCCTATAATTTGATGTAGGTCAATCGAACCCCTATATGGACAGGTGCATTTTGATATATTACACTATGGGGGGTAAGCTTCAATTTTTGTCGAAATAAATTATGGCTCACTACAAGTTAATGCCTGTACGATTCAATACTGCAAAAGAAGCACTATGCCCCCTCAAAAGAAAAAAGTAGGTCCTGCCGGGATTCGAACTCGGGACCGAGTGTGTTCGAGTCGTGCTCCCTAACCACTAGGCTACCAGTGATGAGGTTATTTCGAAAAGTAAACGTAGTGGATTTATTTATGAAATTGTCGGCTCTCTAGCAAAAACACGCAGCAGCCACTTGCGTACCGACAATTGTCGGTTCTCTATCTGGCACTACTAGGTGACGATAGAGTGCCGACAATTGTCGGTACCCCAGCAAATACCCCTGGACAGTCTTCAGTACCGACAAAATTGTCGGTCCTGGAGCCACTCCGATATGAAACATTTCAGAACTAGATAACAGCAACGCGAGGTGGAGCAAATCCCATCGAACTTTTGATCTCAAAATCGTTCAACTACTTTTCAAGTTTTAGTAAAAAAGTAAAATAACGCAATGCGTGACATATACGTAATTCGCGTGAAAATCCCGAACGAAATGCGTACGTTTTTTTTCGGCGTTCGCATTTTTGCTGTGTAGACGAACTTTTTTAGAAATTTTTCTACTGAAACATTTTTGCTTGACAATTACCAGGTAAAATGCGTATTTGCGTGCACAGGGAGCTCAAGTTGGAACTATACGTAATCATTTAGTAAACTGGACTGGGAAATCAGAGGTCGAAGGGTTTTTCAATAAAATATATTCCAAAAATTCTTGACACCCAGTAAGTCGTAGGGTCGAAGGGTCGTAGGTCGAAGGGTTTTTAGTACATTCCGTTACAAAAGGCTGGGTAGCACTTATTTTTTAAGCAATGGAAAATAATTAACTTATGTTACAGTCATAATTTCATTATCATTAAATGACCTTGCCGGGCCTATAGGGAAGAGTATCCAAAAATTTCTATTACGAAATGACAAATGCATCAGACATTTATATTGATTTACCATTAACGAATAAAACCTGCTATTAATTTCAACCCTTTCAGAATGACTTGATCGAGTAATGAAAGAAGATCACGATTATCATTGGCCCAGAGAGGACTGAATGAAACCCTTGAGGAATACAACCAATCATTTTGACAAGAGCCCTAAAATTTGGTACAATAAAACCTGTCTAATCTCAACGCAACCCATGGAACACAACTAGAACCTAATTTGAAAAAAGTGTTCACATTGAGAGGTGTTCGGCTAAGAGAGGTGTTCTCATAAACAGGTATCACTGTATTCCAGTTTCCAGTGGTCATTGAAACTTTGTGAAGCTTCAAGTTCCAAGCATGGAAGTTCATAGGCCAGCCTTAAAACTCGGTAACTTTAGTGAATAACTGAGTCAAAATGACAGGTTATTCAAAGTTTATCTCAATAAATTAGCTACAATAAATATATGATTCAATAACTGATATGAGCCTAATCAGATCATTATGATATACCATTTGATAGATAAGAGGCTTGTAAATCAGAAGAGTTGAATCATCTATCAGCAATTCAAGTTTTTATTCTTGACCTTGCAATTGAAATCTATAAGAGATTTTGACCCATCTCAACAGTCTAGGATATGCTAATATCTATTTATCTCATTAAATGTTTGCAACAGACTACTTTTTCATTCAGGAGTCAATACAGCTTCTTCTGTGTCCATCAGTGTAGTTGCTGGCCAAACAAAACACATATACAATAATACTGTTTACTTTATCATATTTCATATTTTTCTTTTGTATGTCTTAAAACACTAATGCAATGATGTAGTAACTCATTACCCAACCTTGCATCAACCCCCCCCCCTCCTACTATAACTTATTCCCTACCCAGTAAGTATGTGCCAGGTCACAGCTTGAAGTAGATTTTAATAACCCAGCAACCATGTTTTTTACTTTCCTTAATATACAATACTACTTTTAGAAATAATTTATGAGTGAATTCAAGTTTTAAGGAAACATTGACATCACCTAATGTCACATCGACCTTATAACTGATATGGCGCCATAACTCGGCATTGACTGACACATAATTTATTCTAAGCCTCGATAAAACCTAATAAGAGACACTTGCTCTACATGTTTAAATAAAATCTTTTGTACTTTATTAATATATGAAAAAATGGCTGTTGATTTTAAAT